TCGGATTTGGACAGTGGTGGGAATGAACTATTAGTGAAATTTCTTCCGACCGCTTTAGCAAGGGACCAAAACAAACGGGAGCCGTTGGGGCAATCTATGAGTTTCGATCTTATCTTGGCATTGTATGCTTCTTTTGAAGCATCTATTGTTTGGCTGCAGTTATTCCTGGCATCAACGTATTCTGCTCTAGTCGCGAGGTAAGGGTTTTTGCGCCATCGATAATAGGCAGTTTGTTTCAAGGCAACAGTTCTAGAACAGTTTTTGTTGAACCAGGGTATCGAAGGTGATGATCTTGTCGAAAAATGAGGTATGTATGTGTCCATTCCGAGCATGATGATCTCGGATATTTCCGCAGCACACTGTGAAGGGTCCTCAGAGTCAAAGCATACTCTATGCCAAGGAAACTCGAAAAAAAACATGCGGAGACCGTCCTAATCTCCTGAATTGTAATGCCATATAAGACGTGGGGGTGCCGGAGCAGTTGATGGAATAAAAAATGGACAGGTTGTGGGGATGAGTGTGTGGTCAGAATCGCCAAGTGGAGCTCGTACATCTATGGTGTAGGGTGCTGAGTTATTCGTGAGGAATAAGTCAAGTATGTTAGCTGAATGGTTTTTGGCATCGGGAATTTGTGTAAGTTCTTTGATGAGCTGCTCTAAGCCGTGAGTGATGGCGAAAGCTTCGGCTTGTCGCCCAGCTTCATCCGTTCTGTTAGAGTGTACGAGCCAAGCAGTGTTGTGTACATTGAAGTCACCCATGATGATGATTTCTGCTGCTGTATGGTTCTGTTGACACATGACATCAAACTTATCTGGTTCCAAAGTTTTTTCTCGTTAACATGAGAGATTCGTTTTAGAGTAGAGGCAGAGACCTTCCTTGAATCTGAAACGTGTGTGGAGTTCGTACCCAGGACAGCGCAGATAGGTCGTATTGGTGTATAAATTTTGACCTGTGTCTCAGTAAGAGCCAATATGTCTGGCTTTTCAATTTGAAGGTGTCGATGGACATCCTTGATGTTTTTACTTAGACCTCAGATGTTACATAGGTCTATCTTGAGGACTTTTTCAGCCGATGGTGAACCCCCTCTAGCACTTCTCGCCCGGAAATCCGAATGGAGAGGTATTCTACTTCCGGATAACTTTACTTGAGGAGAACTCATCATCGCTTATTCTGTATAGAGAAGGGAGGTTGGCGTGGAAGGAAAAGGAAATTGGGTTGGGTTGGGTTGGCCGGAACATCAACCAGCTACTGAAACACGGGTAAGTATACCCATTTCATGCCTATGGTTGATGTGGTGGTATCGCACCGGGCGATGGCGTAAACCATCTTCCACCTATTGGCGTCCTTTTAGTCGCCTTCTACGACAGGCAGGACTTACCGTGGGGTTATTCTAATCCGGTGGTCGGAATATCTTCCAAAGCTTATCTAAAAAAGATCAGACAACCCAGACATCTACTATACACTTACTTGTCAATATCTGCTCTTCTCAGGTTAGGATCAAGATAGGAACAGGTCGACGATGTGCACCTCTCAACGATCACCGCAAGAATCCCACTACTATTTTGAGAAATCGTTATAAAACATACGACTACCATAGGTTAGGTTATTCGCAATCTTCTTCTCCAATTTTAGTGTCACTACCAAAATATTCATCTCACATATTTTGATAAATGACAATCAGGAATATTTTTGCACTTGTCTGAGAGAGAGAGAATGGATACGTATGTCGAATCTTATATGAATTGAATGAAAGAAAGAGTTCAATTGTAAAAAACTTTCATACTTGATGCAAATGGTTGTAAATTGCGATGTTTAGTAGAGGGATTCTTCTTGTAGGCATCATTATCATTATTTTGAAGTTATCAAATATCTGTCAGTCTTATTCTGAGATTCGATTTAAAAAAATTGAGAATTTATATAGTGGTTGTTGGTTGTTTAATAATTATTTGAGAAACCTCGAAATGGCGTGAAAGATAAAAGGACTTGCTGTTATTTTTATAAGACGGTGTTATTGGCTTAATTTTCAGAACTTGCACAACAAAAGCCATTAATAGTGTATATACATAGTGGGCCATTGAAAACGAAACAGCGGCTCTGTAGGTCGGCAAAACCGGATTATGAAAAAATTCTTAAATATATCAACTACATTTTCGAGGCGGACATCGTTCTAAAATATTTTCAGCCCTGCGACGTTGCCGCTTCTAACGAAAAGAAGCAACAACTCTGTAATTTCAAACGGAACACCTTGTATCTCATTGCATTTTTAGATTCTCCTCGGAGAGCTGACTTCATCAATGCATCACATTTGGGGTCTAGCTGGAATGTTTTCAGGGATATGGGGTGTTTGAAACCGAGATTTTTCAACTTTAGGATTTTTTTGTGTCGAAACTATTTATTATTGGTCAAAACGGCTTCCATGTTCCTATCTCAACTTTCAATTTTCTATCTACTGACATTTATTTGAAACAAATACAGGGTGGTTCAAGATTCAGACTTCTAATCACCCTGTATCTGTTGCAATTAAATGTCAAGAGATAATAAATCAAGAGGTGAGATAGGAGCCGTTTTGACCAATAATAAATAGTTTCGACACAAAAAAAAAAACCTGAAGTTGAAAAATCCCGATTTTGAAGTGTGATGCATTGATGAAATCAGCTCTTCGGTAAAAATCTAAAAATGCAATGGAATACAAGGTGTTCCTTTTGAAATAACAAAGATGTTGCTTCTTTTCGTTAGAAGCGGCAACGCCGCACGGCTGAAAATATTTTAGAACAATGTCTCCCTCGAAAATGTGGTCGATGTGTTTCAGATTTTTTTCAAAATCCGGTTTCGCCGACCTACAGAGCCGCTGTTTCGTTTTCAATAGCCCACTCTGTATATTCGCGAAAAAGTGCCCACATTTTTCATGTGTAAAAAAGTATTTATAAAGAGTGGCCTTTTATAACCTGTCAACAGTGATGAGATGTTATATTTTTCCCGTCACATAAAAAAGTAACTTTTTCCTCACTGTGTCCCCTACGGTGGTACTAATCCTGGGTGGGGTAGATTTGGTACATGAATATTCGGATTCAGCGTCACCCAAAACCTCCTTGTATCAATTTCTGCAGCACTTTGTTTATTTTGGCAGGTTTGCCAGATGCGATGCACTTCCCTGATAGCACACAACGTCCTAGGGACGTCCCTATTTGGTACAATTCACGTCCGAATGTCCCGAACCAAAAATGAGTGTCCTTGGGACGTCCCATCCCGTACATCTTATGCAATGTCCGAGCAAGGACGTCCACGGAATGTCCCAGCTGGTACATCATTTCGAATGTCCTAGAAATAGCATCCCTTAGACGTCCCATGTGGTACATATTGTAAAATGTCCATGCAAGGACGTCCTGCCATGTCCCTGATGGGATATGATTTCAAACGTTCCTATAGGGACATCCATCGGATGTCCCGAGTAGTACTTATTCTGGCATGACTTCAGATCTTATATAATGTCATTTCTAGACAATCATGAAATGTCCCTGATGATACATTCCTTCGAATATCTCTGCACAGACACCATCAATATTTCCAGGATCGTTTTAAAATCGAAATGTCCCTTAGGGACATCCTTCGAATGTCCCCAAGGGATATCCGTCGGATGTTTCAATTGATACATGAACTGGTACTCTTCCAATGTCCTAGAAATAACGTCCTATGGACGTCCCAGTCGGTACTCTCAATATGTTGTCCCTGCGAGGACGTTAACTTACACCTCGCCCACGTAAGTCCATTGGATATCCTTGGGAAACTTTTTGGGGACCTTCTATGGACCATCAACTCAACTGGATGTTTCAATCAGTTATGCAAGATCTGGTCCTAGAGGCACCCAGAAAAATTCAAATTCAAGAATAATTCGTACGTCCCTGGGACATCCAATGGACATCCAATTGATATCCCTCAGCGTTGCTGATAGGTTGTCCTATGAATGTCCTAAGGATGTCCTCTGTAGTGCTTGATGAGGAATACTGTACGATTTAGGTATTCGATAGTTGTCCCAGGGACATCCCTCAAGGACGTCCCTAGTTGGTCCTCAATCAGGACATTTGTGCGTCCCACAGACGTCCAATGGACGTCCACGGTACCAAATTCGAACGTCCTATGGACGTCTTGAATGTCCCGACAGGACGTCTTAAGGATATCCATGGGACATAGGTGTATTATTAGGGTTAATTATAGATGCACTTTTAATGCAACCGCCATGCATTTCCGCCACCTTCTGACATTTGAAAAAGGCAAGAATTCTTCCTACAGTCTCACTGAACAAAATGCAAAAATCTTTTTTTTTTCAAACATTTTTTTGGTACTCATGTATTTTTCTCTGAAAAACACGAATTCGATAATGAAAATTGAAACAAACCATTATTTATTAAGATATTCCACTATAAAGTTACAAATTTCACCTTCTTTTCCGCCTGTCTCCTGGATCGCATTTAGAACAATTTGCCCTTCTTTTTTCATCATTGGACAATATCACAATATATGACACATTTTTTTCTATTATATGAGTCAACTAGTTTGATATTCTTGTGATTTATCCATATTTAATGAAATGAAGGAAGAATATCATTCAAACTAATGACGTTGTTATGTCATTCAAAAGCAATCTGTTGACATTTGACATCTTGACAAAATAAGAAGAAAGAAGAGCAAGTAGCTGTAAATGCATCCAACATAAGGGAAAGAAGAAGGCGAAATTTCGAACATTTTATTGAAATATCTCGATGAATAGTGGTTTTTTCACATGTTCATTATCAAATTCGTGTTTTTCAAACAAGAATACGTAAGTAACAAAAAACATTTCGAAAAAAAAAAAACCAAAGCATGAAAAATGCAGTTTTAACCGGACCAGTACGAGACATTTGTTTTGTTTTTGATTAGATTTCTTGGTCTATATTTTCCATGTTATTGTCCCTCCTCTCATATATTATGACGACATTGACGACAGAGATAAATAGCTTATCGTGCAGAGAGATAGCGTTCATTCTCGACCACAACACAACAGACATTCGGTTTATTTATAAACAAAAGTTGTCGGAAGGTCAACGCGAGCTGTGCCAGTGCCAAGTTTATCGATTTGTTTCATTTGTTTTCTCACCAAACAAACGTCAAATTGTGCAGTTGATTCATCAAACTTTCAACAAAGATGTCTGAAAGCCATTTCGACGAATTTGAACACTACAATTTTGAATACGACAAGCATCTCTACTGTGGCCATAGCGGTAAACAGAGGACAAAGAAGGAAGTCACCGAACACACCAACCATTTTGATCCCTCAGGCCACTCAAGAAAGATCGTAGCCAAACTGAAGAACACGGAAAACAACAAGAAGAAGCAAGCTGTTTGAACTGGCAGTGAAAAAATAAACAGTGAGTGAAAAGTGAGATTTGCGCTTTTCTTCATTAGGTGTATCGAAAACGACGTTTTTAATGCTAAGTCATGGACTGTGATCAGGTATTTGATGGGTTTATTATTCTCATAACCTTGGGTGCGCAAGGCCAATTTCCATTTGCGTAGTTTTAATATTATTATCGAGACTCAATAATAAAGGATGAGTCATATTATATTATATTTGTTTCTCTGAGTGATTAACAAAATTGACTGTGTTATCATATTTACTGGTAATAAATCATGCTGAAACATTTTGTGAACTAGTGAATTTAATGATACCTATATACCTACCCAATGTGAAAAAACGAATATTTATATAAATAAACTGTTTATTCAGATTGATCCCACATCTCCATACACTTCCATAAATATCTCAAGTTCAAGGTAGCAAACAAGAACCAATTAAGTGAGATGATTATGTGCTGTTTGACATCAATCCTCGAGCCCATGGCCCACATTCATTGTTCTTGATGGTGAAACTGCATTTATCATGCGATGGGTTTTTTTTTTCGAAAATTATTTTTGGTACTAGCGTATTCTTGTCTGAAAAACGAGAATTTGATAATGAAAATGTGATCAAACCACTATTTATCGACATATTTCGAGAAAAAGTTCAAAATTCCGCCTTATTCTTTCCCCCTTAGTTGGATGCATTCACAGCTAGGTACTTGCTCTTCTTATTTTGTCAATAGGCAATTTATATACCTACTCATGATGTACTTCAATGACACCTTTTTATATAGAAAAGTCAACACGAAATATGATTTTCATTACCAGTTTTTCATATTTAGTTTTAAAGCATACCAGATGACGGCCATTCAATCAATAGTCAATCCAAATACGAGATGTCAAATGTCAACAGATTGCTTTCGAATGATATTACCCACGCCATTATTTTGATTGATATTCTTCCTTCTTCTCACTAAATATGAATGAATCGCAAGAAAATCATATTTCTAGTTGACTCATAATGAAAAAAATCTTGGAAAAAATGGTGTCATTTTTGTGATGTTGAGGAAAGAAGAGCTGATTGTTCTGAATGTGATCCAAAAGACAGGCGGAAAAGAAGGTGAAATTCACAACTGCATAGTGAAATATCTCAATGAATAATGATTTCTTCACATTTTCATTATCAAATTCGTGTTTTTCAGACGAAAAAAAGGTAATAACCAAAAAAAATTCCGAAAAAAAAAACCATGGCATAGGTGCAGTTTTACCGTAGACCATAGAAATATTTATACAGGGTGTTCCAAGAAAATCTGACCCCCTTGATAAGGTTAAAAGAACACTGCAAAATAATTTGGGTTTGTTCAGTAAAAAAATTTCGTGACGGCATCTGTTTTCAAGATATAAGGTGTTGAAAAAATTATTTCTCTACACATTTTTCACGATTACGTCGAAACTACTGGCAACATTGTGATGAAATTTTGTATGGATATTTTTTGGAACCTGACACATCGCATGCATTCGTTTTTATATCTGATTCCCATAGAGGGCGCTAATTACACGGTTCGTACCGATTAGTTTTAAACATAACTTTTTTGAGGTTTGATTCTCCAACCCAAATTTGATGTGAACTCAAACATCATTCAATTTCACACCAAAAAAGTACTCCTGGTGAAACTCGATACTGTGTTCCGTTTTCGGAATATTTCGATTTGAAAATAATGGAGGTAATAGTGATGCTTGTATGAGAAAATGAATTCTATTGAGATCATTTACTTGTTCATTCAGATTCACAAACAATAACATCATTCTTGTGCTGTGGTCATTGATTGAACAAAGAATAACAAGTAGAAAATTGAGAAATATTTGACTAGAAACATGAAATATTGAATCAGTTAGAGTATGTGTTCAAACTGTCCTCAGTTTCCACGAATACACGATTCGATATTTTTTTTAATGTACCTAAGCATTAGGTATTTTTCATAACGGTTGAGGATCAGCTGTAAAATCGTCTAAGTGATTATCAATTCTGACCTGGAACTCCAGACGTGAATTTATCTCTGTAGCATACACTTTTTGCTTGATAAAATGGAACTGTGTTATCCATGTTTTTAGTAACATTTGTTTCAATGCTAGTCTTGTGAATCATTGGCGAATCAATAAGTTTAGCATTGAAAATGTATTGTTTTTTTCGGTTTGCAATAAATAGGTGATGATTTTTTATAATAATCACCCCAATACATAGCTTCAATTCCAGCAACAGTTATCACTTCATTATTTTCAAATCGGAATATTTCGACAACTGAACACACTATCGAGTTTCATCAAGATATCGAGTACCTTTCTGGTGTGAAATTGAATGATGTTCAAGTTCACATCAAATTCGGATTGAAAAATCTAACCTCAAAAAAAGTCATGTTCAAAACTACTAGGTGTAACTAGCGCCATCTATGAGAGTCAAATAGAAAAGCAAATTCATGCCATGTATCAGATTGCAAAAAACATCCTTACAAAATTTCATAACGATGGTGCCAGTAGTTTCGACATAATCGTGAAAAATGTGCAAAAAAATCATTTTTTCAAAACATTGTATCTTGAAAACGAATGCCGTTACTACATTTCTTTACTGAGCAAAACCAACTCATTTTGTCTTCTGGCTACCCTAGCAAGGAGGGTCAGGTTTTTTTGAAACACCCTGTATAAATAAAATATTTCTAGAGATTGATTCCCCATCTCCATACACTTCCATATATTCAAGGTTCAAGGTAGCAAACGAGAACTAATTAGGTGCGAGGTGTGCTGTTTGACATTGAGCCTCGAGCCCCTCTCCACATTCACCACATTCATTGTTCTTGATGATTATAAAGTATAGAAAAATTGGTTCCATTTTTCGCAATGTTTCTTGATATTCGAAATATTTCCCCTTATTTGAGACTGAGAATTTATTTTTCAGAAAACCATATTGAACAGGGTGATTCAAAAATGCTTTGACAAACTCCAGAACGTGATTCCTCACAATATTCTGATATAATAAGTGTACAGGGTGACATAAGTCATGGATCAAAAGTAGTGAGTAGTAGGGACGGTCATTACCAATCAAAATGACACCAAAGAAATTCAAGGAATGATTATTTCTTGTGATCTTCCAGGAAATGAAGTTCATATAAACATAAACATAAAAATATTTTTTTCTCCGATTGGCAGCAAATATTAATTTTGCTGACACATATCAATCAGCAAAGTATTACTTTTCCTGCCTAGGCAGCAGAGTGGGTACTCTGCTGCCTAGGCAGCAAAGTGGCTACTTTGCTGATTGATATGTATCAGCAAAATTAATAATCCATAAATTGTTTATAATTTCCTTCATATTTCATCCGAGACTTCTCCGGCAACAAATTCAACTCTTTATTTTTTGCCACCTCCCTCATTTCTTGAGGTGTAAGTACCTCCAGGTCGCTATCACTGTCCATTATATAATAATTCAAATATACCGATATTTTTTCGCACAACTGTCAGAAATTTCACGAATTGTCAAACTATAATTATTATGGACATTTCCATAGCAACCAACCATTCCAACAAGTGAGATTTTTATCAATTTTTATTTCAATTGAACACTACAGGAATGATAAAGAGATATATATCATCATGAACAATCGAAGAAAAAATTATATGTTCAACTCGGCAGCAAAGTACATTGACTGCCTCAGCCACGGCAGTCAATCTACTACTTTGCTGCCTAGTTAAACAAATAACTATTTCTATTCGTTTCTCAATTGTCTTTCCATCATTTTCGATAAAACGTTGTGGTTCTGTTTATAGTAACATGAAGCTTCATCTAGTGCGATTAGATTCGGAAAACAATTTCCAGTGGCGCCCCAGTGGCACATTTCTCGATACTCATAGTGAATGTCATTGTTCACCACTGGTTTTTTTGAGTTCCATATTCTTATTAGATTGAACTATTGAAATAACAACTTTTCTATCTGCTGTGTGATTTTTGTATCTAAGTACTTAGTTTTTGAGGAAACGATAAAAATCTATTTGACTCCAAATTGTGATGTAGGTGTTCTCAAGACTTCCATTGAGATTACTCAATAACCTCAATTAGAGAATCATTTTGAAATTTTAGGGCTTTCTCAGTCTCCATCCATGATGAATTTTGGCACCATGGAAGATCATACAGGGTGGTTATGAATGAAATCAATTATCAATACTTCAACATCCTGTATCTCAAAAACGAAGCAAGTAAGGACACATGTTTATATGAACTATATTTGCTACAATGTCACAAGGAAACACCCCTTGATTTTCCTCGGTGTTATTTCGATACACTTTGTATGTGATTATCCAATCCAAAAAAATGTATTACAATAAAACTATGTCAAATATTTGATATTTTGTTTCACAAATCTCAACCACATGGATGCACCTTCCCCAAAAATAGTTTCATGATATGTGTTACTTCTTATCAACTACACAACTACATGAGGAAAATTTTGTTTTCCTCGAAATTCGTCATTGAATGAAATATTCAAGTTGATTTTTCAATGCCGCTTTAAGAAACAACCTCACAAAGAGCCCATCATGAGAAAAAGTTGCCAATTCGATACAGATTCCGAAACGATATAATATATATGGGGTTATTCAGAAAAAAATCGATAACTTTCGAACCATCAACAATTTGGTCACCATATATAGCATTAGTTTGTTTGCATATGACTTCCCTATCACCCCACTTTTTTTATCCAGTACTTCAGGATGTGATTGGTCGTATAAAAATATAGACAAAAAGTCCTCATTAACTCATCCTCTAAAATGCATCATTTTGGACATTGACATTGGAAAAAAAAATAGTTTTTGCGAAAATCTATGGAACCGTTTACCGCACAGAAAACAGCTTTCCCAAGAATTTTTAACTTGTAAGTAAGCTATGTTTTGTGCCTATTTTTTTTTTCACGTAATAATTGCTGAAGATTTTGAGGGGTAAAGAGTGTTTTTCTCCCCAACTCCTGCGTCACTGGAGAATGTAGTTTTGGGCCATCCATTAGAACCGTCAATGCTCTATACGCTACTCCCAAGTCCTATTTATGTAGAAATGGAGCTAATTTTTCAGTTGATGATTCGAAATAGGTTTATCAAAAATAATAAAGACAAAACTTCTGAATTCGAAAAATCAGGGGTATACAAACTCAACTGTGGATCTTGCCCTAAAGTATACAGTGTGTCCATTTAGTGCGTAATTCTTCGATATCTCGCAAGCCATAACCTATAGAGAAAAACT